TTTTTTTTTTTTTTTTTTAGGCTATCATGTACTAAATGTTCGCATTTTACTATGCATATTTTCCAATTTGAAATCTATAAATGTCACCTTTTCGGGTCCCCATATCCCTTGATACTCATATAATTACTTTGTTCAGGTCTCGCACGACTTTACCTCCTACTTCCCCACTGTTTTTTTTTCAGTTGTTGCTTTTATCAAAGTAGAAAAACATTTAACAGATAGTCTATCTAAGCGCAGATAATCTGTAAAAACTTTATGTAACCTTTAATTTTAGAAAACCTCAACAACAGGTTAACTTTTTCCTAAAATATCATATTTTACAAAGCACAGAAACCAAATTTCCATTTTTTGAAATGGTGACCTTGGCTTTTTACCTTGTATCTACAAAATCAATAGATTCTTCCTCAAGCCCAAGGGAAGTGACCTGTGAAGTTTGATTAAAATCTGCTGCTTAGAATTCCAGTTATCGTGCATAGAATAGACGTCTACAGAAGGATAGATGACGCTATCGCTATACCCCCTCATAGCTTTTAGGTGGAAAAGGGGGATTAAGTGGTCTTGACTAACCGTCTTTCCTCTAGTCTATCGTTTCTGAATTAGGGAGAGCTAGGGCAAATAGCCCGCTAGTAGCTCTGCGCGAAATTAAAGAAATCTCCAAAATGTCAATAATTAATCACATGTATGTGTGCGTGTTATCTGAGTAATGTATATAAATTCATTACAACTATGCAAAATAACTTTAATATATATTTCATGACTGTATTCAGTGTGTCTTTTTAACAACAATTTTTGGGGTACTCCTGACTAACCAATAGCAGGATTAATCATCACATTATAACACCTTCACGGCTGTAAGAGCGATCATAGAGGGTGACGAGATTCGAACCTGCAACTCACAGATTGCTAGTCTAACGCCCTAACCACCATACTATGCTAAGCCGGTTTTAAGATTAGATTTACGTATCTATTGGTTTATAAACAAATATTCATTGTATTCATTTAGCATATCTTAAAAGACAATAAAGTATTCTTAAGTTCTAATCATATTAGATTAGCAAATAAATAAACATTACATTACCTCCATCTCTTACACAACTGCCTTAAACATTTGAATATTTGGCTAATGTGCATTTTATATTGGGATAAAACCAGTTAACGTTTGACTTAATATTCGTAAATCTTTATATTGTTTTAGCTAAGTTTAAGTCTATAATGCTTCGAAATATGGCAGTACATAACAATTTGGAACAGGTAAAAAAACAAGATGTTTTTATCAGTGCATGAATGAGTAATATTGTAATACATCATGCATAAATTTTACAATTGGTTTTAAACAAGAACTTTACAAACTTAAAAAAAGAAACACTTACCATGACTTGCTCTATGAAGCCAGTAGTACCCAAGGTCAACACCGACAAAACATAGCAACCATGTCCAAACAGACTCCCACGGAAGTGTCACAAGCCGCCAGTTGTTGTAGACCCAAATATATGCTGCAAGTGGAACACCTCGTAATAACAGCCTGAAAAAAGTAAGTCCCAACCAAATAAATTTTCCCCCAAAAATGCCATATGATAAGAGTCTGTTAAATAACAAAAATCGCAATAATCCCAGTTCCGAATAACCCAAAATGCGCTCTTAAGCTTCATAACCAGATTTTTTTTAACACGCAGGTACATTTATATGTTATCCATTATTCCTAATGATGTTCTCGTGAGCAACACTCATAATTTGGAATAGCACATTGTTCTTCTCTTGAGGGTGCGAGATGTTTTCCAAATCAGGGATGACTTGTGTACATGAAGATTCTATTAATAAGAAAACGAACAACATTAATATACAGCTGACCTAAAGGGGTTATAGCGATACAGTTAGCTAAACAGATGAGGAAGTGTAAGGAAGACAAGGTTACGGTGAAATGGAACTTTTTAAAGTAGGCTGAATATGCTGAAGAGCAGTATTTTAGAGGTAAACAACAACAAAAGTAGTTTTCAACACAATATTGCAAATGGGACAATAAGGAAAAATTAAGTGTTCACTCTTACCCAATGTACATAATTATGCAAGTTCCTAATCCCAGTGAAAAACAACATGACCTTGCCTTCTAGTTTTCAAAACAGTAAAAAGATCTAGTAAAGGGAGCAAGAAAAATAAAACAAGTAAAGCTAAGCAGACCAAAAGGAGGTAAGTCTTTTATTCAACACAGTATGTCAGAAAGAAAAAATGAGCCAATCATTCGTGGGTGACAGAAGACAAAGCTATTTTGGCAGCGTTAACAACCCCTAAATTAACAGAAATACGAACATAAGTAGGTATTCAGGCACAAGTACTTCAGTATTCAGAATAAAGTAAATGAGGATGAAAGTACCCCCACGGTCATCAAAGGAAAGTATTATGTGTACTTTAGGTCAGAGTTGAAGGACGCTTAAACAGTCTATGTAAAATAAAGTACTAATGTTTTCCAGCCGTGAGGACAAGAGAACGATTTCAGCTACACACTATAAAGTGGACAGTACGACTGGAATAATTTCAAAGATTGGACACAGAAAGCATAAACATTTCTTTCAGAATAAATATTCACATAATGTTTAAAGGTATCAATGTATACCAAATAATCAGAAAGACAAATCATGTCTTAAGATTTTCAGAAAGTGAGAGGTGAACAAGAATGCTTGAACGAGTCAAGGAGGAAAGTGCAATACTACACAGGATTCTAGCTGAAGAAAACGTTCTTGAAGATAAAAGTTAGAATGTCATAGAGAGAGAGAACAGAGGGCTAAGCTCCATTTGTAATGTTTCAAGTAAAAGTCATTAGCTCCCCCAGTGGCACAGCGGAATGTCTGCGGACTTAAAACGCTACCCATGCTGGGCAGAGCACAGATAGTCCATTGTGTAGCTTTGTGCTTAACTACAAAAAAAACAAAACAACAAAGGTTATTAACAAGAGTTCTCTCAACAATACATTGCAAAAGCTGTAAGGCTCTGTCGATCAAGCGCGTGCTGTTGATGAATAACCAAAGGAGCTTAGAAACAACAACCTGTAGAGCCGAAGTAGGTGTACAATGCAGTACACCTAAATATAATAGTGTTGGTATGGAACAGCATTACGTTTGTGTAGCAGATGGCTGAGGTAGAATTATATAACATTCAGCCATAAACAAGTTTGGAGTGAGTTGAAGTATGTATATAAGCAAAACATTTTATTGATCAGAACTTCTATAAATACTAGGTACAGTTTAAAGCAAGCTGAGGAGTATTTGAGAGTAAGCAATCAAAGCAAAAATATAGCCTTCCAACTCCATTTTCTGTCAAAGTAACCAGCGTAAACAGCGATAAATTCACCAAGGTGTCAGTATAACTAATCAAGAGAAGAAGAAACGAGTTAAAAAAAATAATATATCAAAATAAATATCCATTGGTAACAACTCAAGTTTGAAGAAGGTCAGGATAATTTTGAATAGAATGACACAAGAAATTAAGATTACGATCTTATCCCTCCCATTAGCATAAATGGTGCATTGAATATTACACGAGACATTTCACTAGGCATAATATTAAGCAAAGTAGGATAGAACCCTAGAAAGAGTCATTTTAGATGAGTTTACGTTGTGAATTTAACAGCAAATACTTACACAATAGCCAAGGCAAGAAATCTTTCTAAGAAGACCTATCCATAATGTTATGGTCACAAATGGCTACAACTTAAAAAAAGGTGGTTTGAGAGATGTTCCAAACAATCTACAGTAGTTTTGTCTTCGCCACAGACATTTTAATATGTGGGTAAATGCACAAAATGATAAATAGATCAAGAGAAACATAGTTGATCATGCATTCAATAACTTCTAGAATATAGTAGGGTATGGAAATTCGTCAATATAATGTTAGAAGGAAAGTGAAAGCAGGTCCGTGTTTGTCTAGTTTGAGATTTAGGATGACATCAATATGTTTTCAATCATACGGGTAGATCCTAAAAACCAATCTGTTATTAAACAAATACAAAATCATTCCTTTGCCATGAATATGCAAAGCATATTTCGTGTTTCGCGTTTTCTTTAGTAAAGTGAACGTTCACCTAGAATTTAAAACTTTTTTGCTCATATACATTTCTAGCTCTGTGTGTAGTTTTGACAACAGAACAAGAAATGTAGCTAACTTCTTTCGTCTATCTACCTATTGTTCTCAATCATTCCCTTATGGTGTTACGTGTGCTTTCTTGTTGGAAAGATTTTTGTGTAGCAGAACACAATATGTAAAGAAAGACGTTGATGTTTTCTACTGGTGATCAAGTGAAACCATGATGATATATACTGTTTTATTGTGCCATTGGAATGACCATCAGTGACGCTGGTAGCGTATGTACACTGAGAAGGACGAGGTTACAGAATCTTGTATACAATGTTATGTTCTCTTAGTTTCTTTATTTACAAGTTTAAAATAAAGAGATCTCGAGTAGAAGTGATGTGTACTAGTGTACTTGTTTGATTTTCATCATTTTTGTTAATAAAGATTACCTTTTACTTTACTCTTACATTGTGTTTGGTCTCTTTGTTGAAATTCAGTCGGAGTCAGATACTTCAGATTCTACTCCTTGATAAATTTCATGGCGTTCCTTAAGTTACTGTGGTACTACTTTTAACTCTAAGATTATAAGTGTACCTGAGAATATCATAAGTATCGGGATAAACAAACACGGAGAAGCGTCAAGCAGGTAGTGAAGGGCTTATAAGTAGGGTCCACAATGCTTTCAGAAAGTTTGGAGGTTGAGAATGATAAAGTTGAGGTACTTGTGAACAAAGTGGAAGAAATACAAGTAGCTAAGTAAAGGCTATACAATCACGGAATCGTTCAAAACCAATTCTAAGAATACGACCCATGCTCACTAAAAATGCAGTCAATATGATGAACAATGTAACTAGGTAAAGAATGATGAATATACGAAACTTTAAACAAGTTTTGGGAACTGATATGAATTGTAATTCTACATCTGGACACGCTACTGTAAAGTTTAAGGTGGCTTATCGTCACCAGATATATCTTGAGTATGTAGAAGATCATGTAATGTCCCAGAGTCCAAACATACATAATTGTTTCTAAGAAGCCTAAGTGATAATCCCATGCACAGGTGTCTATTCAAATTTCTTACAGCTTTGTAGTGTATCACCCTCTGGTGGCAATATTGCCTTTTGTTGTGAGCTAATTAAATTTACATGATATAGCATACAAACTGAATACAAGAGCATATTACACAGTACTGAGTTAGTGCTGAAACAATTCAAACGAGATGAATTTTTAGAGGTTAAAATGTGTTCACGAAAACCTTAGTACGACAGCAACAATATCTTTATTTATTAGTGATTATTTTATACAAGATAAAGATAATTCGGTTGAAACATAAATATGTTACAGTAAGCAGTGTAGGTAAATAGCTATTCTCTTTATTAAGATGAAACTAGATTTAGATTGTTAATTGATGTCTTCTTTATACTGACTGTTTAACTTTTAATGTTTACATATTATCATTTGTTATCTTGCGTAGACATTATAATTTCTATGTAATATTTATCTCATTTTTTCTTATGTATGGCGAGTTCGAATTCCATCGCCAAACATGCTCGACCTTTCAGCCATGAGGACATTATAATATTACAGTCAATCCCACTTTTCGTTGGTAAAAGAATAGTCCAAGAGTTGGCGTCGAATGGTGTTAACTAGTTGCCTTCTCTCTAGTCTATCTAGTACTATCTAGGGCAGATAGTCCTCGAATAGCTTTGCGCGAAATTCCCAAAACAAATTTGCATTTAGACTTCGCGCTTGTCGTCGTTGTGATAGAATCGACTTAACTCTGAACGTGAATAGAATACGAAACAACGAGTAATAAAGGTGATTGCACAGAAGGATAAAGAAATATAAAATGGCTGTAGCTATTTAAAGAGCATTAAAAATAGAAGAAAATGGGGCACAGATTTAGAGCGCGAGGAAGCGTTGACGAATGCTGATAGCTGGCTTTTCTTGTAGGATTTTGTTATAAAAGTGTTCGCGATGCTGGATTAAATATAAGACACTATTGTAGATTTAGTAGGCTTTGCTCTTGAGTTTGATTGTCTGGTTGAATGCGTGTTAATACCAAATTATGAAAATTGATTAATTCCAACATTTTAAATGAAATTTTAACAAGAAGAATTGTTGTTGTTTTTCAAGTTACAGGTCAAATTTACACAGATAGAATAACGATCACCTCCCGCGATGTGTTTTAACTATTAGACTTCCTCAATATAACACTAGTTAGTTTGTAGAGTTTAATTAGCTAGATTCTCTGCCAACTTTACAAATATGGACTGACATTCTGACTCTTTTAGCTTGCTATTCTAATGTGTTTTGTTCTAGTGCAAAGCTAAACAATGAGCTGCTACCTGTGCTCTGTCCACCACGGTGAATCGAACCCTAGATTAGCATTGCAAGTCCGTAAAGTTACCGCTCACCTAATGAGTGACCTGTTCTTGTAATGTTTCCCGGCATACGACTCCCGCGGTGGACACAGCAGGCAGCCCAATGTGGCTTTGCCCTACAACAAACAAATATTGCTGCAAGCTTACTATTTGGTATCTCGCGTCCTATAACTAAGAAGGTCTTTTTGAAATGATTCAGCCCTGTTTCTTTTATCGACAATTGTAGACTCTGCCAGATAATTTTGGAGTTAATTTAAACACGCCACTAACATAAAGAAAGAACTTATCCACTCAACTATCAATACGAAAACAAAAATCACACACATACACTCACTATACATGGAAGTTGATCAAAATTTGTGTTTGAACAATTAAGTTGACGCTGTTCACTGAATCATTTCATGTTATATGACAATGTATTTGCAGTAATACTCCACCCTGAAATATACATGCACACAACCTTTTGTTTCACTTTACCATCCGTAAATTTTCTATTGTCATTTCTGTAAAACAAAAATTTTGAAAGAAATGATTTGAACATTGTTTAACGTACAGGGAAAGGTAGATACAGACACGCATGTAAAAATATTAAAATACATGAACAATAAATAACAATCACTTCCTACACGTCTAAAGTAACTTAAAAAAGAAAAAAAACAGAAAATTTTCTCAATAATTAAGGTACAAAACAGTTAACAATGGGATATTGTTTTGTTGAATTTTGCCCAACACTAGCCGTCCCGGATTTTGATTGTTTGTTTGTTTTTAATTATGCACAAGGCTACACAAGGGATATCTGTGCTCTGCCCACCACGGGTATCGTAACCCGGTTTATAGCGTTATAAGTCCGCAGACATATCGCTGTGCCACTGGGGGGGGGGGCACTGATTTTTAATTCTTTGTTTGTTTGTTTTGGAAATTCGTGCAAAGATACACGTGAACTATCTGCGCTAGCCGTCCCTAATTTAGCAGTGAAATACTAAAGGGAAGGCAGCTAGTCATCACCACCCACCGCAAACTCTTGGGCTACTCTTTTTATCAACGAATAGTGGGATTGATCGTCACTTTATAACACCCCCACTGCTGAATGGCCGAGCATGTTTGGTGGGACGGGGGATTTGAACCCGCGGCCGTCAGATTACGAGTCAAGCGCCCTAACCACCTGGCCATGCCGGGCCTAATTTTGCTAAGACTACTGATTAATACCACCTAGTGCTAACTCGTAGGCTACTCTAATCGAATAGTGGGATTTGACCGTCATTCTTATTACGCATCCACGGTCCCAAAGTACACTAATTGATGGACCGCATTCGGCCTAGAAATGGGATTGGAAAGAATAGTCAAAATTATTCCAGAATTTCAGACTTGGAACAGAAAAATTTCCAGAACCCAAATTAGGGAAGAAAACAGTGCATTATGAACATTCTGATAAAATGCCTAATCAGATCCAACAGAGCGGAAGGAAGGTTTATCAGACGAAACACTAAACAATAAGGTTATCTTCAATATTCTGATGAAACGTCATGTGAAACAGATCCAATGGAGTAGAAGTTAGATTTATCACACTAAACACCAAATAACGAGCTTACCTTGAACATTCTGATGAAACGCCATGTGAAACAGATCCAATGGAGTAGAAGGTAGGCTTATCAGACGAAACAATAAGATTAACTTGAATATTCTGATAAAATGTCTTGTGAAACAGATCCAATAGAGTAGAAGTTAGGTTTATCATACTAAACACCAAACAACAAGCTTACCTTGAACACTCTGATAAAATGCCTTGTGAAACAGAACCAAGTGAGTCACTTATGTTAACGTAATCTTTATTTTTCCATACGGTTATCATCAGCTCAATCATAATGATGACGAAAAATAATGGCATAACCTGAGAAAAACAACAAAATACAATATATTTACTTTTTCTAGTTTTCAAGATTAGAAATAGTATTTGCATGAATATTAATATACAGTACTAAATACTTTGTTTATAGATAAATTTAGTACAGAGCAACAACACGCCAAACTATACTGAAAATAAGATAATATATTCTGAACTGGAGTTTTTCCATTAGAACATTTTTCACGTGTTCTAGACATTACATCTTATTTCTTAATTTACTTTCATGTCCGTTTTCTTAATACTAAGAATGTTTAGTGTTTTAGAATTGGTTCAGCGCTACCTTCAGTAACATTTCATCAATACATCATGAATTAAATACCTCCCCATGACAAAAATTACAAAATAGTACTTTTTTTATGTCTCAGTCTCACACAACATGTTCTCACAGTTCAAACATAGTACCTATAATTACTATAATAGTACCTACACTTTTACCGGAGCCTAATTGCTTATGGTCATGATATCGTGTTCCCATAGTTAGAATAAATTTCCTAAATTTTTCTATAAACGGATTGCTTAAAATCATGGTATTCCGCAAAAAAGAAATAGTGCAAATGAACAAGACAGAAAGTTATCAAAAGTATTTTATGATTGTTAAGTACCAAAGTGTACTTCAAAGATGTGAAAATTATTTGTAAATAAAAGAGTTTAAGTGTTGATGTACAAATAATAACGCAATTGGGCATATAAAAGGATCAGATTTTAGCTATAGGTTTGTTCGCAGGTGGCTTAGCGGTAAGTCTGAGGAGTTATAACGCGGTGGGCAGAGCTCCGTACTTAAAAGCAAAACAAACAAACATTTGGTTCAAATGTCTATGAACAAAGTTATCTACTACATCCTTACTTTCTACTACTTATGAAAAAAAGTGTACATTTTGGTCATTTAGAATACGCTATGCTTTAATATATTAAAAAAATATTAAATTTTCACAATGTGTGCCCCCAGAAGTACAGCGATATGTCTGCGGACTTACAACGCTAGAATCCGGGTTTCGATACTCGTGGTGGACAGAGCACAGATAGCCCATTGTGTAGCTTTGTGCTTAATTACAAAACAAACAAACAATCAATCACAACCTGTACAAAAATTTATCTCAAACTTGTTTTTTTTAATAGTTTTCAAACCTATTATTTACACACACACACACACACACACACACACACACACACATATATATATATATATATATATATA